GAATGTGTCTATAAGAAAAGCACTAAGTTAGCAACGATGGGAATGACCAGTTCCAAGATGAGTTAAATGCCCGATTGTGGGAGGGATTACAGGTTTAAGAAAAAGTAAAATCTTAAGAAAACACTTACTGATTAATACCAACTTTCACCATCAACTGCATTTGACAGAAACTAACCTTTTTCAAATCTTACCCGAGACACTTATTCAGTTTGTTACGCATACAATGTAGTGTAAATTAATCTCCACTTCGTATTTTGTCAAATACTGTCTTCATCCTTTGATCACATCAGTGCTCCCTACACTCCACCCCAGGGTGCCCGTGAGAGCAGAATACTTCATCAGAGGAACACGTGAGGAAGGGTTCTGCTCACGATCCAGCAAAAGCTAATACACTAATTTTTAAAAATCTCACTATGAATTAAAGATCAATCCGAAGAGTTGAGTTGATATACAGTACAATGTTAGGTAAGGAACGTGGGTTGATAAATTATGAATGGCAACATTTCGTAAAGGAGGCTGCTGCGTGTGAAACTCATTAGCAAGTGCCTGCCTTCCCTAACTTCAGAAGCTAGTCTCCTCCAAGACAAAGGCCTTTGAACAGTTTAGTGCTTAGTGTTCTTAGCACAACAATGCAACTTAGTTCACAAGGAATTTTGGCAACTCTTTATCTGAGCAAAAATAGGGGCTTTTGAAAAATAAGGCTTTAAGAAAGCTTGTCATTTTAGGGCTAAATTTTAATAGAATGTGAAAGTTTGAATCCTTACACTTATTTAAATAAAATCTAAAAATTACTGATTGGTTCAAAATGGTTTTATGGAAAAGCTAATTTGTAACAAAAACTTGGCATTGAGTGCGAAGGCTCCATCGTTTTTTGAGCAAAGCATACAAAGGTTCGCAGGGCCAGGGCGCAGGGCGAGGCCCAGACATTTACAACAGCAGGCATTTTCTCTTCCTCTTCTTGACGGGCGGCGGGCAGAGGACGGCGCGGATAGCTTCATCGAACACTGTCTTGAGGCCCCGCTGTGTGAGAGCTGAGCACTCCAGGTATTTTACAGCACCTGCCGAGAAACAGCCTCTTACAGCCACTCGGCCACGGTTCTGATCAGAACAAGGGGAGGCCGCCCCCAAGACAGCACAGCAACCCCTAACCCCCCTGCTTCTCCTGAACACTATGGGCGGGCTCACCTAACTGGTTCCCCAACAGTCACCCAGTCTGAGCTGGAGGAGCACACGTCCCACTTCCCAGGCTGCACTCGTCTCCGTCAGGAAAACGAAAGCGCGCGCAAAGCAAACACGAGAACGCGGCGGCTCATACCGATCTCCTTGGCCATGGCCAAGCCCTGCGGGTAGGTGATGGGTGTCAGCTTCTTCTCCTTCAGCTTCTCAATCGTGTCTTTATCATCCCTGAGGTCAAGCTTGGTCCCCACCAGGATGATGGGAGTGTTGGGACAATGGTGTCGAACTTCAGGGTACCACTGGATGGGAGAAAGGGAGAGAGTTATGGCTCTCCTTTCTGAGCATCCTTCACTTAAGTCATATCCTCAGTTCCAAAATGCCAACTGCCCTGAGTCACTGTGTCCCGACAGCCTTCACGCAGAGGCCACCTGCTCCCAGCCGTGCTCACATTCCACTCACTCCTTCGAGGACCAGGGCGGCCGGGACCAGGGGACTGCCTTGGATATCTGACAGCAAGCAGGACTCCAAGATTAAACCCACAGTAAGCACGGTCAACTCGCAGCCCTACCGGGCAGGCACTACTCATCAGCAAGAGAGGGGAAGAGACAGGGATGGTTCCCCCTAAACCCACTTCGTTTTTAGTAAGACCAGTCAAGTTCTTAGGTCATCTCAGAAAATACTCCATACAGGGGTGGGCAAAAGTACGTTGACAGATGTAATACAAATAAGTAATGTAATAATAACAAACAGTATTTAGTGTACTCACAACTGTCAACCTACTCTGCCTGCCCTGTATACTCAGGGATGAGCATAGAGATCTGAACCAAGGTCTCGGCTCCGCGGCCATCACCCACTGAGCCTTGAGGGGCCCCGGCAAGGGTGCTTCTCGCCGGGTCTGAGGTGCAGGGTGGGGGCGGCGCTGGGCTTCACTCCTGGACGTTGCACTCGGCACTGAGTCAGCCAGAAGCTACAGCTCCGAGCCCTGCAGTCAGACACTGAGAACACTGCTGGTGTGCTTTAACAGAATTACCAAACCCAATTTAAGTTCCTGAAAATGTCAATCAGTGAATGGTATTTTATGTCTTAAAGTTTCTTCCTCAGTGACATTATGTAACAAAATAGGTTTTCTAAAAAAACAACAACCCCACTTACCTTTGCACGAACATTCTCAAATGACGCAGGACTCACAAGAGAGAAGCAAATTAAGAAGACGTCCTATAAAAAGGAAACACAGGTGGCATTGAGAAGATGGTCCCGCAGTGACGAACGCACTCTGCTTTCTAAATGCTGCTGGGGACGAGCCGCTGGACCAGGGGCACGTACTGTACCCCCGCAGCCTGCGTCGAGAGCAAGCTCCCTGGATACACCTTGGCTTCTGGCGGACGGCTCCCAAACAAGGCCCTGCTGAAGCGCCGGGCACGGGGAGAGGGGAGCAGAGGCGAAATGCTACCAGTTATGGAGGCTGTGGAGGCATCAGGTCAGAGCCCCGGGAGGCCTCTTTCCATCACTCCCAACTCCCACTGGGAGCCTAACGGGGACAAAATCAAGTGTCAAGGCACCACTAGAATATTCCGTAAAACCTGGCCAGTTTCTCAGAGCATTACCTACAAGCGCATGCTTCTCGGGAAGCTCCGCGCCTGCGTGTTAAGCACAAACACCCTCAGATGGTCGCTGGGCTCCAGCCCTTGCTAACTGAGCACATTCCCACGAGGGAGGCCGGCCGAGCGTGTATGAGCGTCGGAGCTCCCCACCCCTGCACGCGGCCTCCAGAAAGCTTGCGCCCGGGCGGGGTAGGTGCAGAAGATATGCCTGAAAAACGTGGGGCTACAAGTGAAGCATGTGGGCTTTCCTCCCGGTCTGCATTGTGTGAAAAGTCTAAATACTTACTCGAATTAAAAATACCGAGTTTCTAAAACGCTAATTTATAAAACATTTTCCTGGAAAGAGGCAATTCTGTTACTTGGTGAAATGCCCAAGTCCCAAGCTAACACTTTCAATCATCCAGCCGCTATCTGGTACCTGAAAGGGAAAGAAACACCCCACAAACAGCTTTTTATGAACAACATTTTTATGCCAGCACATGCACAAGCTTGTCCAAGAACCACCGCAGCTGATGACACGACAAAGCAGAGTGGGTTAGCTCGCCACCCGCGCAACCGCACCCGGCAGGCCCACGCACCAGGACACCGCAGAGGCCCTGGCAGCCCTGGTTAGTCTCACCCGGCTGAGCTCTGGGCCCGCAGTGGGGTTCCTGGCGGAGCCCCGTCTCCATCTCCACCAGCCTGGGGAGAGCCTCCCCTTCCACTCGGGAGGACTGCTTCCATTCAAGCTAGGGGCAAAGGGTCACACCCTGTGCGAAGCCCGGTTCAAGCAGACCCAAGAAACGTGAGGCTGAAGAGGAAATCCTAGGGGAACTAAGAAAGGAGAGGAGAGAGAGCTGAAACTGAAGTCGACTGAAAGTTTTACATACGGCAATCGGCTTGTCTTTGCCCCTGGAGGTTATATCCTTACCGTACGTTTCTCCAACCTAGTAATGCATGAGAACTTGGTTTGAGTTTAGTAAAAATGGAGGAAAATAAAATCAACACAGCCTGCTATTTATACCTCATCAGAACTGTCTCCACCCTCCCAAGGTTTTGAGCTAACAGCAGCCGATGGTCTAATACAACGGTCGCCAAACTGACGGACCTCACGGACCACCGGTCGGCGACTGCTGGTCTAACAGGTCTGATGCCAGAGCCACGGCTGACCCACCTGGGGGAGGGGCTGGTGAAGCCAGAGGGCAGGCAAACACGGGGAGGAGACGGCGCACCTTCTCCCACGGCAGCACATGACAATGTGCCAGGAAGCCCGTGCTCCGCAGGGAAGTGTTAAATGTGTCCTTCCTGCACTGGCATCCATCAGCGACAGGCACACCTTTCAAAGGGCTCCGTCCCAGTCGTGAGACGGCCGGCTGAGGCTGCAGCACTTGGGCAGCCCCGTCTGTGGACAGGCCTCTGGGGAAAAGGCTTTCTGGGAATGGGGCTGGGGCCGGACTCTGGGAACAGCTTGCTGCACAGAGACCTTCAGCCCCCGGCCCCCGCGGATGTGGACAGGGTGACAGCATTCGGGTGTTGATTACAATGCTTCCCATCCCCTCCTTTGTCCCAATAAAAATGGGGAGACTTGCTCTTCCAGCAACACAGAGCCTGGCACTCTCCAGACGGTGGAGAGGGGAATGATTTTCCTTTCATCTCATTCGAGCTCTCATTTCCAGTTTGAAGAAACCATTAAAGTTTCCGTCAGCCCTGCTTTCATCTGTGGCTATTTGTGAAGATCTGTCCTCCCCAGGACTTGACGTGACGCCAGATCTTCACTGTGACACAAGGACTCCTGGGGACTGGCACGAAAATGCAGTTTCAAGATATCCTCCGCCCACAACTACTGTACCCTGTTCCATTTTTAAGAACATCTTTTTTGATGAAGAAAGATGTTTTCCAACCTACGTTCCCGTCACACCATCTGCCTGTTCCTCCCCAGCCTGACTGGCTTCACGGACTCCTTCCTCCTGCTTCGGAGACGCATGCGCTGGCCCCGGCTGTCCAGACCTTTGCTCTCCACCCTGATGCCCAGTGTTCTCATGGCCCATCCCTGTGACAAGCCTGTCCCTGTGACATGTAGCTCCTCAGCACAGCCACCTGTGGCGCGGCCACACGACACCCTCCCTTCCTCACAGGTCACCTGCGTGTCCTGCAGCCTCTGTATTCCACCTGTGCTGTCCTGGGTCACAGGCCACCTTTCCTCTGGACTTGACCATTACTTTCTTTACATCACAGGGCATTTCTGACCACCCGGCCGGGCCCAGAGGCGCTCGGTGACTTGACCACCCCTGTGCTGCTAACCCCGTCCTCACTGGTCAGCATCACAGCAGTTTTTCCTGTTGCCTCCCACCCGTCAGTGGTATGATCCACAAAACAAGGTGGGCAGGCCTCTGGGTGGCTGACTCTCACTGCTCCAAAGCACTATAATTTCTCTCTTTCACTTCAGTCTCTTCCAAATGCTTTCCACCTGGTTTTTACTTGCAAGCTTGGAGTATTTTTTTTAACATAGGCATTCTATGCACCAGAAAAATACCAGGGCACATCCACACGCAGAGCAAAGGAGCCCCGCCTGAGAGCAGGCCCCGCGCCCACGGCCCCGCCACGGCAAGTCTGTGCGGCATAAAGCATCTCCCAGGCCGAAACCGGTTTGGCTCAGTGGATTGAGCGTCGGCCTGCGGACTGAAAGGTCCCAGGTTCGATTCTGGTCAAGGGCATGTACCTGGGTTGCGGGCACATCCCCGGTAGGAGATGTGCAGGAGGCAGCTGATCGATGTTTCTCTCTCATCGATGTTTCTAACTCTCTATCTCTCTCCCTTCCTCTCTGTAAAAAATCAATAAAATATATTTTAAAAAAAATAAATAAAAAAAAATAAAGCATCTCCCAGGGCGCCGCCGTCAGACACGGTCGGTGTGCGGCCATGCTGAACTGGAGGCCAAGCGCAAAGGAAATGGAAGGCCACTCACTTCCCAGTTGTGTCTAAGCACAAGCACTGGAGGTCACTGTGCAAACCAAAGCCCCCGACGTCCCCTCTCCCAGACGAGGAGAGGAACTACCAACCCACATCTCTAGCTTGACTCCATCCTCACCTTCTAATAAATTTAATAAATGCCCAACAAAACTACCCTGCTTCTTGCCAGCATCCAAGCCAGAGCAGACCCCGCTTCCCTGAGCCCTTGCCCAACTCTCATCCCAGTCCCCGAGGTGTGTGTGTCCCTCAGGACAGAGTGACCGCTCACTGTGTTCACCCACAGCTGTGCCTAGTGACTCTGGCTGGAGGACACAACAGCCAGCCTAACCAAGCTCAAAGCCATTTGAAAATCACAGCAGCTCAGCTCCACGCCATGGCTCTTCTTTGTATCCCACGTGGCAGTAATCTAGCCAGGACTCACAAACCCTTTTCAAGTCGGGGCACATACGGAAAACCAAAACACTGCTATGACACTCCTGGGTGACCCACACAGGGCTGGGCCCTGTGACTCTGACAAGTCGCGCCTATTCCCACTCACACACTAAATACTGGAACAGGCAGGTAGGCAAATGCAGGTGCGTGGACACAAGATGAGACACAGGGCTTGAGTGCTATGTGATCCCACCTCTATTCTGCATACCAGGTGAGGGGAATACGCAGAAGTTACAAAATACTTTTAAGGAGAATGTAAAGATAACTTATTGAAGGGGAGAAAAGCCTAAGGATTACTTAGTTTAGAAAAAAATAAAAACTTGAAGGGCAAGTTATACTGAAAATGATGACTACTGGCTCACCATCTTTTGGAGAACAAAGTAGAACCCAACGGTTTGCAGACTGAACTTGGCTACACAGAGCCACCAACAGAGAAGGTGCCAGCATCAGTGGTCTCAGGAAGGAGAACAGCTTGTTAGGACGCCATAGCTAAGATCATTTCCAAGTGGGTCTGAGCGGGCACGGATGAGCGACAGGAATAGGCCTGTAGGCCAAGGAGCCAACAGCGGGAGACTGTGCTCCGTTAGCACCAACAAGAACCCAGGTGCCAGCCTGGACCGTCCAAGGCCTGCTCCTTCTGACAGGGCAGCACGGCTCACAGGAAGGAGACTTTCCAGGCAGTGGCACCTCCACTCGGACCCACCCTCATCTGCAAGGAGTCCAGGCGGGCGTGTCTGCTGCTGGCTGGGTGCGCTTCCCCTCTGCTCCCAAGTACCGCCCCGACCCGCTCCGTGTAACACACGCCGCACAACATTACACGGCATTTATGAGGTACTTGAGGGCAAGAGTCACATCCTACTCCTTCAGCTGGTCAAGCATTTGATAGGAAACAGTTCTTCCCCTCAGAGGGAATGAGACATAAAAGGTTTAGGTCCCAGCCCTCCCTCAGAAGGACCGCACCCCCTCGGATTTCAGCCAACTCACTGCAGCCTGATTCCATCTGTTGCTATCTATGTGTTCTTTAGCACACAAAGCGGAAATCTTGCCAAGTCACCTTTGACACACCGTGACTCTCTGAGAAAAAGACCACACCCTACCCTGAGTCACAGGAGGTACAGTGACACCCTACCCACCCTCCAGATGTACCCAGTGGGCCAGGACACTCCTAACTCGGTATGTTTGCAAACCCATTTAAAATCTAGAATTATTAAGCACCCACTGGTATAGAATAGATTCCTAAACATATGGAAGAATCCAAACCATTTGGTGATTTGGCTGGTTTTTAATACTTTAATTTTTAGTTGTAGATAACTAAGAAGTCATGCATCATGCAATTCAAACTTCCCATTTTATAGTTTTGGTCTGTTACCAAAATCCAGCTCAAGAACAATCAGCAAAAATCTACAGCTCAAAGAAACAGTATTTGGCAATTTCTCCAGCGGGAAACAAAAGAAACGATGACTGTTGCATGGCAACAGCAGTATTCAGAAGTTTAAAACTATCACTACTAAATAGGACGTTCATTTAAAAACAAAAAGCAAGATGTGAGTAGACTGGAGCAAATTAGTTCTTTTTACCCACACTAACCACTAAGGAAAAAGTGATGGTTAAACCAAGCAAAGGATAAACCAATCAAAAGATCAAAACTTCCTTCTCCAGATGGCTCCCTGACCCTGACCCTTGACCTCTCTGACCATCTGGCTTGCTAGGAGAATGGATGACTTGAACTGAGGTCTCCAGACCTGCACGAGAATGAGGGGATGCTAATAGCAGCCTCACCGGAGCGGCTGTGATGTGCCTGGGACTGTTCCATATGCTTTACGCTATTGACTCCTCTAATCCTACGAGGAAAAAGGTGAAGAACAGAGATGAAGAACACTGCCCCCGGTTACACAGCAAGAGGGAGAGCAGGGTTTGAACCCAAGGAATCTGTTCAACTGCCTCTATCCCATGTTTGTCAGTTAGTCACAAGCTTCCAAGATGGTTTTAAAATGCTCTTATAAGAGGAAGAACAAAATGTAACCAGACAAGCAAACGATGCCAGTGAGATACCTGTGTATTTAAAGACAAGTGACTCTCTCCCTCTCCCTTCCTCTCTCTAAAAATCAAATAAAAATCTTAAAAAAGAAAAAAATCACTGTGGTCCTTACTGTCTGCGGATAGGAGAGGGGACGTAATCTGTCATAATCTTCTTGTCCAGCAGTATCCCATAAGCCCAGATTCACCGGTTTTCCATCTACCATAACATTGGCAGAATAGTTGTCAAAGCTGTAAAATATGGAGAAAAAATTGTTAGTCTCTAGTCTTGGAGCATAAGGCCCAGGTCCAGGACCCAAGTCGCTGTCCCAGCTGGGGTCCCAGAGGAAGTGGTGCTGAGAAGGCCAGGAGGGGGCCTGGAGGCCGCCAGGCCAGCAGATGCCCTTCCTGCAGGCACAAGGAGACACCTGTGAGCTAAGGAGTGGAGGGAACACGGGGTGGAGTGTGAGGGAAATAACGCACAGCTTGGGAAAATGCCTGCGAAACAAAGGAACGCTACGAATTTAATTGAAAGAAGTTACTGTCAGCGATAAAAAAAGCTTTGCCTTTACTAAAGAGAACACTTCCTCTCCGGGAAGAAATAGTGTGAACCTGGTCCCTCTTTCAAATCCCGCTGCTGAGTTTTTCACAGACATCTGACTCACTCTGGACAAGATGGCACACGGCGGGGCCGGGGCAGGGCTGTGCCTCCACAGACCCGCCGTGCAGGCTGGGGCCGAGTCAAGTCTTGATCACCCATGCCCGCAACCAGCGTGCAGAGGGGTTCTGAGAAGCCAGCGAATAACGTTTTCAAAGTGAATGTGCTGGACTACACATGTTTAAATTACTTTGAAGTTGCTACACAAAACTGGTTAACTACAGAAGGAAGACCAAAAAGCCTACAGGCTAACAGGGGAAAATAAGGTCGACAATTACAAGTATCATAGAGTAAGTAGTTCAATAAATAAAAACCTGGCATTGAAATTCAAACCAGGGCAGGTACCAAATAGAAACAATAGAACTCCAGAATTCATCTTTACATACTTTGAAGACTAAAACTTAAGGTCTTACTACACTGGGGCAGCAAAGTCAGGTCTAAAGTGCTAATGTGGTCTAAAACATTTAGTGACCAAACTAGCTTTCATAGAAGGTCTGATGTGTACTAATTCTGCCTCATGAGAAAAGGATAGATTATTCACTGAATGGTGACTTCCCCACCCCCGCCGCCCGCCCCCCTCACTTCCAATTTGGGAAAGAATCAGGTGCCTGTCTCATACTAAAATAAAAAAGTCTTTCTAGGCCCTGGCTGGGTAGCTCAGTTAGTTAGGGTGTCATCCCAATATGCCAAGGTTGCTTGTTCAATCTCTGGTCAGGTCACATAAGAGAAGCAATAAATGAATGAATAAGTAAGTGGAACAACAAATCGGTGTGTGTGTGTGTGTGTGTGTTGCTTCCTCTAAAAATCAATCAATAAATAAACATTAAAAATACACCCTAAATAAATTAAAGAACTTGAACCACAAAAGTCCTAGAAAATTTACTAGAGAATATTTTTGGATCACTCATAGGAGACACCGTAACAAAGTTAAAAGACAAATGAAGAAACAGGGATTAATATTTCATATATGCAGAAGTTCCACCGGTAAGAAAAAATTTCAGTAGAAAAATAAGCAAAAATTTCAACAGGCAATTCACAGAAGACTATGGACAGTAAACATTCAAAAGATTTTAACCTCATTGATGATCAGAAATGCAAATGGTGAGGTAACTTTTTCAATTCATGAGGACCACAACATGTAGTAAGGGCCTGTTTCCATCACAGCTGGTCAAAGTGATAGCCTTTGAGACGGCAAATGGGTAGTACTTAGGAAAATTTAAAATTTGGTACAATTCCACATGTGCACAAACACACATGCATGATGTTTAACACAGCACTGTGTGTAATGCCAAAAAACTGACCAAGGTTCATCAGCTATAGCAGTTCCAAGTCCTACCAGCTGTTAGCGACTCAGCTCTATCTACATTTGTGGATAAGGACAGTCCCTACCGTAAGTTCCACTGACATTAAAATATGCAACAAAACACGTCAGGGAGCACCTAAGTGTGAGCGCTGTGCTCGAGGAGATGGCACTTGAGGAGTTTCCTCTCCCCCAGGAGGGAAGCCGGGAAAACAGCTCAGCCTGACCACAGGGTGGTGCTGCGAGGCCGGCAGGCACGTGGGGCTCCCTAGTAACCCCATCAGCAGAAAAGCACTTTGCCACCTCCGCCCAATTCTGCTGCCAGCAGGGAATGAGCAGCCCAGTAGCCAATTCCACCCTCCTGTACGCTCACCCCCAAACACACCCTGGTTTAAATTCCAAGGCCCCTTAACTCAACAGTGACATGTAACCAGCGGAGAACTTGCCAGAAAAGGCCAATTACGACATAACGGAGTATGTCAGCCTGCACACAGAGCCCAGAGAGCCAAATTTATCTGAAATGTACATTACCCAGCCTCCATACTTCAGTTAGTTTAAATTTCTTGTATTTCCTAAATGTCTAAAAATCAATTAGGAAAGCTGTGTGTTTCATCACTGTGTCGAAACTTTACATTTTATTAAGTATTTTTTTTACCTAGACTTTGGTGAATGTTTGAAAGGAAAAGCAATCATATATGTTCATGTAAATAGCAAAACAAAGATCAAAGGTGTCTGCAAACATCACAGATGCGTTAATGCCCAGTTTAACTTAAATACTTACACAGTGGGGATATATTCTCCGGGAAATGCATTGGTAGTATAACTGATCAGCAGGCAAGTTTTACCTACAGCTCTAGAGAGAGAGAGAGAGGGAGAAAAAAAAAGGTGTAAGTTGCTTGGTTAACATGAATGTAATCCTAGTTTTCATTATTCTGTTAAAATAATTTATAGAAAAATCAAGGCGTATACACCAGTACTTAGCATTAAAGAAAACTGTTTCTATAATCTTTTATTTAACATTACACATGTATTTTTATCCTGAAATTTAAAGTAAACAAACTAGAATTTTTCAGAAAGGCAGAGTTAGGAGCCTTCACATTCTGGTGAGGTACGCGATATCAGCACTCATAGTCAGGAAACAGCTCTTAAATAAGGTTCAAGAGAAACACTATCTTAAAATTGAAATTCTTTACGGTGACCATCTGGAGAATATTTCATCCAAGAATCTTCAATTCTATCCTGAAATTATTTTTATGACACTAATCTGCAAACACAGCTTTCCTCTGCAACTTCTAATCTGTTGCTAAGTAATAGACTTTGCTGCCTCTGAGTGGCAGCTCAAATTCCACCGCCTTCCTAAAGCCGTCCCTCTGGCAATCAGCAATGACTGCTCTCTTAACAGAGTGCTTAGTCATAACCACCACACAGACCTATTCTCACTGCAATTCATCTGCATTCACTGCCACCTCCCCACCCCCTGTCCTCACACATCACCACAAGCTTTTAGAGCAGCTAACACAGTATCATCCAGACACTAATTAATAGCTCAGGGATGCTGGAGTAAACTTCCCAGCAGCTGCAGGGAGGAGTAAGCAAGAGACTCTGCAGAAAGACTCCACAGAAGGAAGACCTCCGAGCTGGTAACAGGTACAGCGCACCATCAAGCAGAAGTCTGGAACTGGAAGTCTCCCAATCATTGAAAAAAATTTTTTTCAAGAGAACATCACCTAAAATTTAAAGTTACTGCACCATTAGCCAAAACTGTACATTCACAGGATGTCTTCAGGGCTTCTAGAGACCATGTCCCTGGCCTCCTGATAGTTCAGCCAATGCCCACCTCCCTGCCGTCCTCGGTAGGCTGACCATGGGAACACACCGCCATTCTGAGTTGTAAGACTCTGCTGTCCAACCTCAACTACTACAAATTAGGAATCACCATACGAAGTTAGGTGCTTTTCTATTTTCCCTGCACTCTTAGTTTAAGGCAAAAAACCTCTCAACCAGGCCCGATTACAGGCCCATCCAGTCTTGCCAATACTTGTTTCACTTGTAACATTACGTAGGGCTTAACAAAAGTTGGAACTCCCCACCCTAAAGACCTCACAGAGTCAAACATTATATCATCAGGAGGTAGCTTCCAACTCCTAAAGGCTTTCTAAACAGAGATGACTCACTGGCCATACATTTGTTAAAAGCTTAGCATGTCAAAATAAACCTGTAGGAGCAGGAGCCTAAGATTTGAAGTCACTACCTTGGATTTGAGACCCACCCATGGCCAACTCTATCACTTACTGGCTGGAATTTTGGGGTAAGTTTCAACTTCCTTATGCCTCCAGTTTTCTCAACTGTAATATGGATGCAAAACTACCACTCCATCACAAAACTACTGTGAGCATTACTTAATTCAATTTCAACCTATACCAACAAATTGTGTGCTATGCCAGGAAGTGTATTCGGTGCTGCAACAAATAAGACCCCATGGAATTTATGCAGTTAATTAAAAAATGAAGAATACAGTCATGACAAAAAATTATAGGTGCAACTAGTGTTATCAAAGATGCTCTGGAAACAGCAAGAGATCTAACCTAGTATTGGGGGCAGTTAGAGGAGGCTGCAGTGTATGCTGAGACTTAGGGGAAGGAGAGACACAATAGGGAGGAATATTCTAGACAAAAGCAACAGCATAAGAGGAGACCCAGGACTAAAGGAAGCCCAGAATAACTTCTTGCTAGGAACATGGACTTAATCCTACTTGGGAAGTCATAGAGGATTTTAGTTGCCAAGAAACCATTAGATTTGCATTTTTAGAAGACTCTGAACGCGGTTGGAGAGAAGACTGAGGAAGCTGGGGCCCGGAAGCAGGAAAATAAGGAAGTAGCAGCAGCTGCTCCATTCCAGTAACTACCCCTGGTAATCTGGACCAGGAGGGGCTTTCAGGGTGAAGAGGGGGGCATTTCAGGAGCTGCCTAGACTTGAGGCAGGACAAGCATGGCTCGGCCATGGGTTGGATGTGGCAGCTGAGGCAGATAGCGGAGTCTAAGGCTGTGATAAATGAACCTCTTTTCAAAATTACAAATGTTGTGCAAAAATGTTCATAGTTATTGTCACTTACTGACCAGGATAAGCAGCTATAAAGATTTTAACTTTCATCTTTGCCCATGTGGCTCAGTTGGTTGGGTGCATCCTGTACACAGAAAGGTTGCAGGTTCGATTCCCAGTCAGGGCACATGCCTGGGTTGCGGGCTCAATCCCCAGTAGGGGGTGTGTAGGAGGCAGACAATCAAAGTCTCTCTCCCTCTCCTATAAGTTTTCTCTCTCTACTGAGACCAGCAGAGCTAGAGAGCAGA